ACACACACACACACACACACACACACACACACACATACATGTGTGTGTGTGTGTCTTTCCAGATGAAGACAAAGTTGTAAACATTATAGCCCACTGTGAGCATGCTAGCAAGGGGTAGGAAGAATAAGGCCATGACAGGCTTTTGTTGCAGCTGTATCTGGTAATCCCAGCTGTCTCTGCTGACAGTTTGTAAAAATAGGTGAAAAATGAAAAACAAGTCAATGTGAAAAATGAGGTGGCTGTTGGCGGTGATCCTCAAGTCTCCCTGGCTTTGCAGAAATTAATCCACTGAGCATGTAACTCCTGTTCCTCCTGTAACTTTAGTTTTCCGCGTGGCTGCACAGCCTGTGGACGAGATGCAACATTAGCTCTACACAAATGTAATTCTGAAACTCAGCATGTGTACATAGTAAACTGGCATCTGCGACATTTACAAGATTGTCCCTCCAATGCACCAAGCAGGAATCAGATTTTCTGAACTTAAATGTAGAACTTTCAACTTGAGTTTCAACTACTGTGCTTTGTTATAGAAATGAATCCATTTTAGCTCCGTACTTCAATGAAATTTAGATTAGCAACTCAAAAACTGCAAATTTTAGCATTTACTAAAATGTTCCCAACAATAGCTGTGTAGTTAGCTGGTTTTAGTTAGATATTTGAAAGCCATCATAAAGCTAACTCACTTGTGAGTTGTGTTAAACTTGGATGATATATAGATTCCTTCCTTCCTTCCTTCCTTCCTTCCTTCCTTCCTTCCTTCCTTCCTTCCTTCCTTCCTTCCTTCCTTCCTTCCTAAACAAAACCTAACCACCCAGATTACCCAGAAAAAAAAATACTAGGGTGTATTTATACAAAACTAATGACTAACACATTACTGATGGTATTTTTAGCTAATTTGTTCCAGGTGTGAAGGGAGAGAAGAAAGCAAGTCCAATTGAACCAAATCAGGGAACAAAAATAATTGAATTATAATTCAGTAAAAGAAACAAGAAGAACAACCAAAACAAGATGTTTGTTGAAGAATGGAAATAATGGAAACATTAAACCAAGAAATAGCTTTCTTTTTTTTTAAATCACTCATATTTTTTTTTTCATTTGGTACAAAACAAACACAGCGTTTGGATAACATAAATACTTTGAAGTGGAGCTGGAGGGGTGATGATTTAGACTGGTTTTACATCTGCATGACCACACTTTGCTATCTTTGAATCTACCAGGAAACAAGCACATGTTCATGCATCAAAAACAATATTTCAAAGAAAACCAACAAATCCAGGAATGAGTGTATTTAAACATAATTAAATAATAAATACATTTCTTAACACTACTTTTAGCTCAAACAATGACACAACATGAGAACATGATGTTCATTGTCTAATGTCTGAGCAAATAAAATAATGTTAGATATGAGTCAGGAGGTGACTGAGTAAGTGAGTCATTTAAGAGTTTTTATTTTTTTAGTTGCTTTATTTAATTTTATCAGCAATGGACAAATTGGGGGTATTCATTTAGTTACTGTGCATGTATTTTTTTAATTCAGAAGTTTTAAGAAATTAATTTAATAATTTAATTCTATGCTTAATCCCTTGAGTAAAATAAATAAATAAATAAACTAATTAATTAATTAATAAGATCAAATTTACTGTATAAATATCATTTGCATTTTTTAGTATGCTAATAAGACAGTGAATGCATTTAAACACACTGTGGAAAAAAGAGACTGCAAAGGTAAAATAAGCATCGGCGTAAGCAGGTGTGTCATGTTGCAGGATCAAATGGTGATGGGAGGGGGATACTTTTAAAAGCATTGCTATTGTCTTATGCGCTCCGTTTTTGCTCAGCTGTTGCACATGACACTTGCTGTAGGTTTACATGCACATGCAAGCACACACGCACACATGCTGCCTCAAGCTGATGAGACCGCAGAGAACAGAGACTGTGCCTAAAAAAGAGTTTAAAGAGTTTTAATGACATTACAACGAACCCAATTAGATTATGAAAGACACTCGAAACTAAATCTGAAACTCAATATGATCTGTTCTAGGAGTCCTGTGGCTTCTAAAAGCCTTTTGCTGGAATAATCAGTCTCCATATTTTCCTTCTTTTCCCAAATCATTTTCCGACTCGTCTTCTCACTAAAATATATAACACAAATATGAGGGTCTAATAGATTGCTGCTTGTGTGGGGCTTTTGAAGTGGGGTTCTGTGGAAAGATCATAAAAAACAAATATTTTACCTGTTGGAGAAAGCTCTTAGAATGATCTGTTTGGAGATTGATTCTGACAAGATTGAGATGCAAACAGTTACATGAAATAGAGCCAAAACTTCATTTTACAGACCTACAGTATTTATCTTACTTGTTTCTAAGCTTTCCACAGAACCCATTCCAAAAGATCTGAACTACTTTGAGTTTTAAAAAATAGAAGAATATTAGTTGTTTAGCTCATCTCTAGTGAAACTTGAATCTGTTTCTTTTTCTGTTTTTGTTCTTTTATGACTATACTTTTTTATGTAAAATGATAGAGCTTCATGTACTATGATTATACTGCTTTTTGTGTCTTTAAGTCCATAAATTACTGGTCATATAAACCTCCGTCTTGTGTCACTGTCACCGTTTCTAAACAGTTTACTATTCATATCAATTTAGCATTTTCTTCTTGTTTTGTCTGTACTCCTTTACACAAATGGGTCCTTGCAGTGTTCAAGTTCTCACAGTGCATGCAGTTTATAAATGGATGGGGTGTGAGTCTTGTCCCTGTCCTTTTGTCGACACATCCATCCAGTTGACTCAAAGATGAAAGTAAACTTTTGAGACACCATCTCTCTTTGATGCCTCACAACATCAATAACAGTACCTGTTATAATGTGTGTGTGTGTGTGTGTGTGTGTGTGTGTGTGTGCGTGCGTGCGTGCGTGCGTGCGTGCATGCATGCATGCATGCGAGAGATTAGAGAGATTACCTACTCATCCTTGCAGTCTCTGTGCTGCTGTGGTGCCATCTTCTGGCAAAGAAGCACAACAACCTTTGTAATAATTGCACGCTGTGCAAAAACATTTCTTAAAACAACACTTTCATTAGAAAAATTTCATGCATTACATGACTTAAAATAAAGCGCTGATGATTATTTCAAATGTTAGATTAAAATGTGTTTATTATTAAGCACATTGGATAAGATGAACTTTGTGACGAATTTATACACATACATATATGTATTTACAGAAAATATTTGATAATACTGTACAACCTGTAGAATATAGCAGCTGCAGCATATTTCCGTAAACACACACACAAATAACAAATGTCWCAAATTATAGTTAGGGTCAGTTCCAGGAATGTAGACCAACACAAGGAACTTACATGAAAATGAAAATATTTAATTTATCATAAAAAAAACATACAAAAATAAAGGCTGATGTGGCAGAATAAATATACAAAAACAGCAAAAACTTGAAAGATGGACCAGGGCATGAAGCGCAATGCTAGACTGAAGAAGAGGTGAAGATTTGGAGACTAAATGGACCTGAGCTAATAAAGAACTTGGAAACAAGTGGCTTAATGTTAGCAGGTGAAGGTGGGCGTAGAAGACAGAGGAGCAGAAACTGACTGTGGTAAAGTACTGAAACTGACTGAAAACACAGAAGTATTGGTACAAACTGAACAGAAATAATATAAAGAAAATAAACATTACAAAAATTTAACACGAACAACAACTCTCAAATGAAACAAAAAACAGCAACATGACAAAACCTAAATCCATAAATCTATCAAACAGTAACGACCCAGGATCATGACACAGAGAGTGAAATCCATCTTATCACAATTAAAGTCATAATATGGTTGTGATATAAAGGCATCTCAGTCATTGACATTGGAACAAAAATGAGTAATTTCTTTTTTTAGATTTCTTATGCTTAAGTCCATTACTGACAACTCTATACAAAGACTTCCCCATCCACAAAATTTAAGGCAACCATGTTCACAATCCTAACATCCAAAGTGGGAAAAAAATGTGGATCTGCCAAGGTTTGATATTTTTTTCGTCTGTCTCACACATGCACAAACATAAATTATCTCCACGTAGATGTCTTTTTTTTGCATAGAAACTATTGCGAAAAACAAAAACAAAAACACCATGAGTAATAGACACTTGAAATATTTAATATAAAAAAGTGTGTCCATGTGATTGATATAGTTTGTTATTATTTCATTTCCTTAAGGATTAAGTGATCATTCATACACATTTTCCCAGAGAACATCCCAGATACACAGTTGTCGGTACTGTGACAACCTTACTGTCTCGAGAACTGAGTTATTTCTGACGTTAAAATGAAACAGAAACTTGACTGAAATCTAAACAATAAAAACACGCTTTATTTCATTTGCCTGCCACAACATTTGTGTCATAGATCTATAAGACCTAAATTGCATTTGGAGTGTCACAAACACACTCATAAAAACACTATTTACATTAAGGACTACTTCACTGAAGTCCCTGGAGATGCATGAAGCCTGGTGAGAATGCCCTTATCGTTGCTCTTTCATTGAATGGATTTCCAAGAGGCCTGCTGATACGCTGTACAAAGGGAGCTGTTGAAGTGTTGCATTTGGTGTTCAAATTATTCAAGTAATGCCAGGAATTGAGCATATTCACATACACAGAGCTCTGGTAGACAAGTGAAAAATTGGAAAATGGGTGAAAATCGACATTTCGTTTCCCCTGCTTTGCCTCTGACTCAAAGACTTCAGTCTTTATTACAGTGTCCTTATATTGAGTACTTCCATTGTTTGCTGTTCCAGTGGTTCAATACAAAGACAAACAAATTTTCTATATATTTGCCATCAGTGATCTTTACAGTAGAAATGGTGTGGCGCTTCCAGATGATTATAAATCTTAGGTCATAGAGTGCATTCTCCGAACTTCATCTTCATTTCCAGACCCCACAGGTATATCTGTCACAGAAACCAGATGTCCTGAGTGCACAGCTGGAGTTAGAGACTAGAGGCTCTAGCTTTGATTTAGTTTCTTGATAGTCTTTTTTTTCAGTCTCTAAGCAATCTCTGGGTCAGGGTAATATTTGAAGACCTTGTAAATCCACTGTGTGTAGAAGGGCACATTAATGAAGATGCCAGGCTGGTTGGCCCGAGCGCAGCCTCTGCCATGGACACTTACGCCAACAATAACTTTGAGCTCACCATCCTGACACACAAGAGGGCCGCCATAATCTCTCTGCAAAAGAAAGAAAAAGATAAATAAATTCAGAGTCTGTTTATCTGCGACAGAGAATCAGCGATCGTCACCGTTTACGTTTCCGACCGTGTTAAATGTCACAAAAAAATGCATTTAACATGCTCAGTGACAGGCAGCGCCATCATAGGCAGATCTCTCAGAGCTAAAAAAAACTCAAACATCTTTGACATCTGATGAAATTCAGCGCAACAGTCTCCGGCTGCTCTATTTACAACAGACTGAACACTAAGCCTGCGGATTTAAATAACATTTGTTTGAGATTTAGATCAAACTTGGCTTTGAATGTGCACATTGTTGAATCGAGGCATGAATGTCCTCAAAGATTCACAACAAATACTTTATTTTTATGTATCAATGCCTGTTTTAGTTTAGCTGCATGGCTGCTGTAACACTTGGATTTCATTGGGAAAAGTTGAAATCGTTTGTCGACAAAACATGTCGTGCAATTAATATACCTCACACACTCCCTCGTTCTTTTTCCCTCCTGCACAGATCTTGGTGTTGGTGATGTGGAAGCTCCCTCGATGCATTTCTCTGCATCTGTCACTACCAACAATGGGCAAGTTGACTGCTTTAAGAACATCATCATGGCCAGTGCCTGAAAGAGTCCAAAGTTCCACATTACAGCCTGCTTTCTTTGTGTTTTGCTTTTGTTAAAACAGAAAACAATGTTGGAACAGGGTTTTAGTGTTTGATATGTTGGACAAATCTGTTCAAAACAAGTGAGCAACAACAAACACATCGTCAATTGTATGCCAACCAACTAGCTTTCAGTTCTAAGGTAATAAAATATTAGGGCTAAAATACTATTTTGTGCTTGTAAAACTGTGACCCTTTTATTTTTTTGTAGATTGACTTATTTTGGAAACAATGAGCTGCTTAAAGCAAAGTGCCTGATTTAATATTGATTATTTTTTAAGTGTCTTTTCCAGTTTACAAAACAGAAAAGCAGTCAAAAAGCAGCTGAGTCAAAAGAAAAACTTTAAAAGACGATTAGGAAGGCTAAAAACGCTAATGTTGAATTAATTTATAAGACTGTATGACAGTGTGGCTGCATGGAAGTTCAACATAAAAAAATGAAGGAACACAAGACTTCTGCACAGTTATGTAAACAGATATCTGACTCCTGCAAAACTGAAATTAATGAAAATATTGGATAATTACAATACACTTTAATACTAAATAAGAAAACACAGAATATGCATGAATAAAACAGCTGTCGTAAATGTGTATGTATAACATTTTTACCTTTGGTTTCTCCCCATCCATACATTTTACATATTGTTCCCTCTGGGATGGAGCATCCAGCCAGGGGTAGCTGAATAGTATGGACATTATCTGCAGGAAGGGGAGGCCTGGAGATTTTAAATGAACACAAAAAAATACACAAGATTACTGACCTTACACTGGGAAAATATGCATCAACTTCTATAAATACTTTTTTCAGAACACTTACTGTTCAAGCCGTAGGAGGGCTAGACTAGAGCCATTAGGGCCACATATTACATTAGCAATGCGGACTTCCTGTCTCTTGAACCTGTCAGGAGAGTCCTGTCGAAGGTCAGAGATGCCGAGCCACACCCGATACTGACTGAGGTCTGGAACACTGAAGAGATGCAAGACATAAAACAAGTTAATATAGGTTAAATACATAGAAAATATGCCACTTCAGTTAACAATTAAGAAGAAAAAAAAGTGTTATAAAACAATTTACAGTGATGGCAAGCAATGAAATTACCAGGAAGAGAAGCACTGCCTGTCAGTAAGTACCCACTTCTCTCGTATTAATGAACCACCACACCAATGAACTGATCTGGAAACAACATAAAAAGATTGGTGGCACATGGTGAAAATCCAGTTGATCTCCTACAGAAATGCTATAGCAGTCTAACATGTACTGTAAATCATGAGCAGTAATATTGACAAGGGTAAAAAGCAATTACAACATAAACTGGTTTTGTATTTTAAACATTTTTATGGACTTTTCCTTTGTATGGAAATCTCTTCACAACCACCACCCATATTATAAGGAAAAAGCTCCTGGAAAAGGAAAATAGTAAAAAAAAATGTGTGATTTAAAATTCTGTACCCTTTCTGTATGCTGACCATCCAGCTGCCGTCTGATATGCCAACAGGAGCGCCCCCTACAATCCTGGTCCTTTTATGGACAAAACATCTCACAGGAGATGGCTTAACTAAAAAAAGCAGAAACACACAAATACGCACTTAATATTTAAATTTCCCATTTCATGGAGCAGAGATACCATTCAACTCTCACATACCAAAGATATACTGTTGTTATTGCTGACAGACTGTATTCTCTATACAACAGACACCAAAACATTCAAATAATATATCAGAATATTGAGTATTTTAAATTATTAGTAAGAACAATAATTTGTTTTATGAGATCCACATTTAAGCTTATGTTCTTTTTACAGAGCATTCATTTTAGAGTAGTGGATTCATGATGCTTGATTTATTGTGTGGTAAACAATTCATGAGAAGAGAACAACAACAAAAAACAACACACACGCACACATGAATAAAGAAACATATGTCATCACAACAACATAAAACCCTGCATCATGTAATAGGATGGCTGGATAGAAAAGGGCATGATCAAGTTCTGAGGTAAAAAAAAAAAAAGGCCAATCAAATACAGATCAGTAGCTAAGACACTAAAATAACCTTTACCTGCTGGAATGGTGTTCTGTGAATCATCGCCTGCAGAGAGAAAATAAGATGAACAAATATCAGTGAGTATCAACTGATAGAAGAAAAGTGATATCACACAGATTTAAATGTTATAGTGTTCATTTAGCCATAGCTACAACAATGCTGTCAAAGGCTTTAACTTATTTAGAGACGTTGTATTTTAGCATTGCAAGTCTTGAATGATTACACTATACTTGCATGAGCAAGTACAGTCTAAGTTTAAGGATATAACTCTACAACTGTAGTGTCTAACCATCTGAGATTAAAACTGCAGATCATTTTTATTCTCTTTTTTATGTGCAATTTCAGGCCCCTTTGTGTTTTGTACACCCTGGTTCCTTAATTCAATACTAATAATTTCATGAATGTTAACTGGGGATACTAATTTGACACTAGATGTGATCAAGTTGATGTGGATCTTTATCTTAGACTGTCCATATAGTAAAGTGGGTGCAGCTAAAGGGTGGTTTTATAGTATGTTACAAAGCCACAACCTGTTACATTTCACGTCTTCTTTTAATTACCATTAAAAATCAATACAATGATGATAAAATGTTTTCTACTAATAACAGCTAACTAAAATAAATAAAAAATTAAAAAATACCTACTACAAAATTAAGAAAAATTGTGTTTGGTAGATTATTCCTTTGCTGTAACAATGCTTCTTGGCAAAACATGTTATTTCAGGCACCTGATTGGCAGCACCTGGGGGTACCAGAAGTGCTAAACAAGTGTTAATTGCGACAGTAAAATAAACTGTTTTGCAAGTGAAAAGATTATTTTGTATTGTTTTATGTGTGCCATCCACATGCTGCTCATCCCACAAAAGCATGCAAATAAATACTGATTTCTGATACTGGTCAAGCACAGATTTTCTTACTTTTTTATGCTAAGTTTATTCGAAAGTTATTTATGAATGTTGTATTTAAAAAAAATAGATCATTAGGTGAGATACACACAGTCATGACTTTTGGATTTCCCACCTCACAAACTAATCTGTGGAGTGTAGACAAGCCTGCGCACAACAAAGTGCATGTGAGGCTAAGAGTAGAGGCCAACCACTCAAAGGAAAACTAATCTACAGTAGTCTTCATCTAGAAGAGCTTTAATTTCACACATTGTCACACGTTGTTTCCCCTCGCATTTGAAGGTAACTGAATACATCTGTGAAGGTATTTTATGTGCACGCATCATTGCACTTACAAGGTTTTACATTGCAGTAGTCCCAATGAATGGCAGAATTGTTGGTGAAACACCAGGGACCGTGTTTGTCCTGATCTGGATTTCTGCAGTAGTTTTCCTCCAGGCCAGCCATCAGCATGCCCCTGTCTCCACTGGATGAACAAAGAGACAGGAAAAGCTCACAACTCCTCTTGAATCAACATTTAACAGACTAAAGATGCATTATTTTTCCGCACTAGTGATTTTATTCTAGTTGACATCGAGAGTATTTCCCAGTGACTGTCACTTAGACAACATGAACTTGCCTACATTTGTAAATCATTCTGACAGATCCATCTCATGTTTTTTTTTTACAGCAAACTCTTCGAGGACAAAAAGGTAGTGCAAAAGTTGAGACACAGTGAGGAGTTTCAAATCACGACTATCCAGAGTTTCCATTCTGTGTTTATGTGTGTTATATTTCTCACACAGTCAGATTTCACTGCGCCTCCTTAACCCTGACTTTATCCCCTGGGCAGGAGCCAAGCAGTGGAGCTGAGTGGCTTTGAAGTGCTACTACAAAGAAGAAGTCTGGGGTCAGAGGTGAGGAGCAAAGTGTATATCCCTGAACCTAGTTACCGCTAGGGGATCATTCCTGCTTAGTTAGGTCATCTTTAGGGGAAAAACACTTAGCAGGCTGTTAGGAGATGCTGGAGAAACTAGTCATGGTACGCATGAGCTGTTTTTTTCCCTCCCAGATCCAAGACTCAAAGTGATCGGCTAACAGTGAGATTTAACTGTGTCTGTGTTGCAGATTTATGCTCCTCATATTGAAGCTGTCATTAAAACATACATCTCTAAGTTTTCAACCACCCCCTCCCAAAACTTACAAATTGCATGCCATCTGCACATTATCTGAAGTTTGCTTTGATTTCACTGAGCTGTTAAAAATCCCATATTCTTTGTTAGGCCCTAGAGGTTAACCTCCTTTAGAACTTTGAGACATCTCTATTTTAGGCAGAGGCACATGTCTGTGATTTATTATTGGCACAGATCTGTTTTTTACATCATAGAGTTTGGAAAAATTATTAGGCTAAGACAGAGCAGAGATCCAATGGACTGACCTGTTGCTGTGGTCTCTCCAGGGAGAACAGGGCAGGTTTGATCTAGTCCTTGACTGTTTTCCCAGGTAATTCTCTCCAAGGTTCCTGTAGCAATCTGGATTTGGACAACAAAGAAGTGAAAAAGATTTCAAATAAATGGTTTACCAACATTATTTTAAACACAAATGAATGATACAAAACAAACAGAATCAAATCCAAACAGCCCACAAGAAGCTGAGAATTTCATGAATTTGCTGTAGGAGAATAATCTTGCCAAACTTTAAAGTATCATGTATTTTTCAAGTACATAGTTCAATTCTGTACCACAGTCAAGTAAATATGTGCCTTCAGTTGTTGTGAAAACAATGTGTATATCAAAAAGAAACATTGCATCATAGCCTATCTAAACACCTTGAAATTGGCCTTTGTTTCTTTAAGAACCTCCTACCATTTCCAACACTCCCATTTCAGCAAGTCTTCACAACAATGCTTTGAGAGAGGGGTGCTCTGTAGGGTTGTTGCCTCTGTAGCTTAGCTGGGTCTCCCAGGGAGAAGCTTTGGGCAAAAAGGCAGCGCTTTGCACTAACAAGTGTTAATTGCATGGTAACATGCATTGATGACAAATAAAGTACCTTTACCCTTTTTTACACTTTATAAACATACAGGTATACAAACACAACCAGAAACATTTCATTGGAAATACATCCCAAACAATAATATTTAGGAAAATCTTAAAATGTAAAGGCAAATTTTAGCTGACCTTCCCTGTAAAAAATAACTATTAATATTAAAAAAATGCAAACTAGATACATTTCCATATGAATAAAATAACCCATAGCTATCATGTCTGTGAGTGGATGCAAAGCTGAAAACACAATATAAGTCAGCCACAGTGACATCTTAGAAAAACATCGAGCATTAATAAGTTATTGAATCTGTCTGTCATCCTGCATTTAATTTCTATATGGGAATGTATTCAACCCTCAAGGGTAAACCACAACCTCACAGCACAGCCACAGAGCGGGTTTATGTGATAGGCCACAGAGGCTCAGCAAAATATTCCCCAAATCCCTCGGGAAATTTGAATTTAAGTAATCAGCCATAGAGCTACATCTTTCCCTTTCAAATCTTTTGCTACCCCAGAAAGAGTCTGAACCAATACTAATCCTTCAACCCCGTCTTTCCATGTCCAGTGAGACCAGGACATCTTTAACTGCTGTCAGATTTTATTTATGTGAGATGTAGTGGTCAGTCCTTCCCACAGTCCTGTAGGCCTGCAGTTTTCCACTGGGACGGAGAAAGTGGGCTTCCAAACCAATATGTGTGGCTGGGAGACTCATATGAACCCTGAAGTCTATAAAATATAAAAATACCACATACTCCTCTGATGAAGATAAAAATAAGCTATTCCCTTGTTGCTTTCAGTGTCAAATAAAAGTGTCGAGTCTCTCACCACTGTCAGGCCTGTTGTGGGCGCCGCACCGAGGGATGTTGGTGCAGAACATGGTGCGGACTCTTGGGTCTGTAGTGAAACACCAGGGGAATTCTTGGCCATCTGGATTCCGACAATAGTTCTCTCTCAAGTCCCTGGAAAACAGAGAAAGTCATCCAGCATTCTGCTAAGAAGGAACCGCACACTGGCGGATGGGTGAGTGGGTGAATAGCTTTCTCGTTTGGGTTTCTGACTCACTTGCAAGGGTAAGCTTGAGGCATGAACGTGTGGTTATGGGGATACTGAGAATCCCATCGTTGGCACATGATTCCACTAGGTGTCATGTCTACTGTCCCCCGGTAACCCTCTCCTCTGCCCTCGTAACACTCGGTTGTTTTCACCACAGGACTCTTGGGAGGTGTTTCTATGAAAGAATATTAAATGATCCGTGAGTATCTCTGTATTTACAGTATAAATCATGTATTTGCATACAAACTTTTTTTATCACCATAAAGATTTACAAAATCAGGTAAAAACAACAAAAAAATAGATGAGCAAAATACACTTCTACTCTGTCCATGAAGTGACTCTCAGTACAGCAGCTTCATCAGCTTTGCAAGCCACCTGGACCAATGCATTTACTTTTCAAACTATATCTAATTTATAACCGAATCAGTGTCTTTCATCAGTATTAGTTATGCCTGCCTGCCAGCGGCCATTTTTCTGTTGCCGTTCTTTCCAACAATTTTAAATAAATAGTCTGTACTCTTCCACAATGAAGCCAAAGGAAATCACTGAAGCAACTTTAAACACCAATGTTAATTGTTATAAATATTTGAGATATTTTGAATTATTTATTTTGATAAGAGAAAAGTAGTGGCTAATGCTTTCATTTAGATTTTATAATAGTACAGTTGAAACATAAAGGATGTTTTAATGATAAATTGTAAATCAAACAACAGATCTTTAACACACATTCTTCCAAATGTCCACTAAGGGGCGAATCCTTTGAGTTAAAAAGTGAAATTATATGAAATTAATGAGAAAATGCATGCTTCTTTTCTAATTTGTTCCTGCGAGTTCATGGCATAATGCATATTGTAATGATCTTAAGCACAGCACAACACTCATTTTCTAACTTATGAGCAAGTTTTTGAAAAATGAATAAATAATTTAAAAAATAAAAGAAAATCATCAGGATGAGGCTACCTTGTGATTGACAAGTCACTAACACATCTGTGGTTTTTAGTCAAATTCCAACTAACTCTATTTTACCAAGATGTTGACAGCCCACATGTAAAACCTACAGCTTTCAAGTGGTAGACCACAAACCGGAGCTGCAACCCAGAGTTTGGTTTGGTTTTGACATCCTGAAGTCATGTTTTATTTACGTTTGTAAGTTATGCTTCTTTCAAACAATTCCTTGCAATGGCCTTTTGAAGAACATGAGCTAAACTGAAACATAAAATAAAAGTTGATTGATATACAGATCATTGTTGCATGTTTGTTTCCATTTGCGTCATTCATACCCCACAAAGAGGGAAGGGTTTGGAACATGCAAACAGTACAGTCAGGCTCCAAAACTCTACCAATCTGTAGCTGTCTAAGATAACACAAAACAAACAGGCCACACAGTTACTGGTTGAAGATTAGCCTGAGATACAGAGTTCCTC